TTCTGGCTGCTTTAAAAAAAAAATACAGGGTGCCACTTATTTCAGGCTGCACATGGTCTCCTCACGTGGCTGGGACTTGCCTGGGACTCACGGCCATCCTGCCTCAGCCCCCTGAGTGCTGGGATTGCAAGGGCGCTACCAAGTGCAGTTCCTGCAGCCTTTTGAAGCTGGTCTAAAAGTTCTTTCATGTCTTTACGAGTGATCAAAAATCAGGTGAATGCTCCTGCCAAGAGGGCCCAACACAAAGGAGGCGCTGCACACATCCTGCACGTCCTCTACCTGATCCATTCTGTCACTGTGATTTCTGGCTCTTCCACAAAGTCAAAGTGACCACAAAAGGTGAACATTTTGAATTGATTTCAGACATTGATGCAGGCACACAGCACAGCAAAAGATGCTCAGGATAAAGAAGGGGCAAGTATACAACTCGCAAAGCAAAAGAAGGGATATTTTGGGGCTGGTGAGATGGCTCAGTGGTCTGAAGCACCTACTTAGAACAAGCTAAGCAAAGCAAAGCAAAGCACAGGGACCGCGGTTCAATCCCCCAGCACCACATGCCAGCCAGCCCCGCCCCCTGGTGGGCTGAGCTGGCCACACACACACACAAAATAAATAAATAAACAAACAAACAAATAAATTAAAAAAATTAAAAAAAAAGGGATATTTTGATGGGAGTTTATGGCTTTGCATCTCTTGTTAACTTTATTTTTGGCGGAACTGAGGATTGAACTCAGACCCTCATGCTTGCCAGGGAAGCGCTTATTCCACTGAGCCATCTTCCCGGCCCCTCTTGTTAACATTTAAAATATCTTTCAGCAGTCAGTGTAATTTTCTATTGTATCTCGTGTGTGTGTGTGTGTGTGTGTGTGTGTGTGTGTGTACATGTCTACATGCATGCACTTATGGGGTATTTTGGGGGGGTCTGCAGCCACTTCCTGTCCCAGTTGAGCTGCCGCAGTGTTTTCCTGCTGGATTTCCCCGTCCTGTAGCCGCGTTGAAGTCTTGGCCCAGCACCCTTCTTGTAGCTGTGATTGTTTCCCGTTCTTTGCTCAGGATTCACAGCTGCACCAGCTGAGATAGCTAAAGAAACCACCTTACCAAGCTGGTAAATCTGTTTAAAGGAAACAGATGCTCGTGTCCCAGTTGAATAATAGAGGAACTGGATAATGTATTGCCTGTGGTTGTCTGTACGGAGAGTTCTGAATAGTTGGCAGAACCACTTTGAATTCATGTTGATGTCATCTGACACCTCCCTTGGTGAGGTGGAAACGCTGGCTTTTCCGTTCCATCACATCAAAAAGCATCTCTTAAGAATTTATGAAGCCAGGTTTGTGGTACCATTTTTGGTTACAGAGAATATCCATTTTGAATCAAGACTTTTTGACTTGAGCCCCTTGATGATCAGGGCTGAACTTAGCGGTACAGTAGAAAGAGCCACATGGTTGCCAGGGCAACTGGAGTTAAGATCATCTGGTCTCCAGGCAACCTTTTCTGCACTTGCCACAGGTACTTTCCCAGTCTCTCTGCAGCGGCCCTTCCTGCTTTGCCCTTCTAGTCTTGTGACCTCAGAATGAGAGCCCAAGGAACCATGGAGTGAGGCAAGGTTTGGACCAGTTGGCTGAGTGCCTCCCTCCCTCCCTTCCCCATTTATGATTTGCTCGTGGGAACATAACTGAGGCCTGGCTTACACTAGGCAAGTGTTCTTACCCTGAGCTACATCTTTAGCCCTGGGTTTGGAATTTTTAACGGGCAAAATATATGGATGAGGTTGTAGGTTATGTTTATACTGGAAAAGAAAAATGAGATTGCAGAGAAAAAACTCTTTCTGTCCTAGTGTCTAAAACACTAACATCAATTTTTTTTTAATAGTTACTGTTGCCTTCACATATTCTTGACTCTTCTGAGGCTTTTTGAAGCTTGTGAAAATCTGATTCCTGTCATCTGTAGCTTGTGAATGAAGCGATCTGTTTATTCTCCTGCCCAGCACGTGAGAGAGGCGTGACTGGCAGGTGAAGTGACAGAGTGGCGTAGGGCGGGAGTTCTGTTTCTGACATCATAAGAGATGGCTGTGGCCTTAAGCATGTAGCACTTGTTCAGGACAGAGCAGGGTGGCTGGCGGGAGGGTACACGCGGTGTGGGAACACGGACAGCATCGTACGGGCTCTGAGACGTTTGACTGCCCCATTTCTCTGAAGAACTGTCAGAGAAATGAACCCAGCCATGTGGGTTGGAGCAAAAGGACTTCGTGTTGCAGTCCAGTTAGGCCGCAGGTTTATACGTAGGGTAGCAGCGCCCAGCCCTCCTGAGCTCACAGCTGGTCAATCCATGATAAATTTGGTATCGTTTGTCCTATAAAAACAGTTCTTAGGGGCTGGGGGATGGCTCAGTGGAATAAGCGCTTCCCTGGCAAGCGCAAGGGCCTGAGTTCAATCCCTGGTTCTGAAAAAAAACAAACAAAAAAAAAAACCAAACAAAACAGTTCTTAGGGCCAGCCCTTCCCTCCCTCTCTCCCTCCCTCCCTCCCTCCCTCCCTCCCTC